CGTGGGTGCGGTCGTGGGTGAATATAACAAATTGAAAAAGCACCTGGAGTGGGCGCTGGACGTCTCTATGGCAGACGTGCTCAAGGATAACAAGAAAGGCCGCATGGAACGCGACCAATCCTTGCAGGATGTGATGACCCAGCTTTTCGAATCGATGGACAAGCTACAAGAAAATATGAAGTTGGTTGCTGAGAGGATTGAAAAGGGGACACCGCCGCCAGAGGCAACTCCAACATATGATCCTCCGCAGCCACCCATGGGACATCCTGGCATGTCACAGAGTAGCCCACCATTGGCACCTATGACGCCGGCACCTGGCGTGAGTTTGAGCTCTGGCCACCTCCCGCCTCCACCGGCAGTGCCACCAAGACCTGTGATCCCAGCACCGCCGACGTTGCCGACGGTGAAGTTCGCGGGTTATAGCCCGGCAAGGATGGGAGAAGTACCAATGAGCTATCCCCTGGCTCTTGAGGTGAAAGATATTAAATCCCCACCTTGTCAGGTGATCGAGGAGGTCACGGGGCGTGTTAGATGTGTTTCACCCACTGCACGTCACGATCCTTTGACGGGGACGGCAGCGTTCTCCCCTTTAGGGTATATGCAGATACAGGGGACACGGGAATACCGTAGGGTATACCCCTGATATCTATACCTGAGCAGAGTGCCAAAGGCACCGGAATTCGCCTGGTGTAACGACAAGAGAATAGTTGATTTTGTCAACTCGAGGTTCACTTGTTGTTTTCAGAAAGGACGATATGGTTGAGCACCGGTACCAAGCTTGAGTTTAAAAAGGGGGCGAGACACGCTGATTGACGCAGTAGACACAACTTTGTCTGCATATTGGTTTTGTTAGTTGTTTGAGGTTCGTTTTGTTGTCATATGTCTCTCAATGACGATAGCGAGAGCAACGTTCTTGAAGGTGTTCAGAACTTGGAGTTGCTGACAGATCTGAGGGAGACATCATGAAGAAAAGTTGAAGTTGTTCTTGATTGGCTTGATTGCGGTATTTTCATGTCTTGAGTTTTGTTGCTTAAAACATTGAACTTGATGTTGTGAGTGTTTTCACAAATATTTGGTATGATTGTGTTGTCATGGCACATGATGAGAACCTGGGAAGAAACTCAGGCGGAATCTGAGTTTAAGAGAAGGAAAATCTTCCGGGGAATCTGATGCCATGATTGCAGACATATTGCACCCTCATGTCATGATATAGACTCGAACAAGACATACCACACCTCCGAGATCTTTAGGATGGATCAGACGTTGAAAGGGGGACGGCGATCTATGCGATGATGAAGCTGTGAGAGATGTTTTGTCAAAATGTCCCCCACCGCTTCCTCATTCCGTGCCAATCTTAGCTAGTCCTGACCCTGACTGTGAAAGATTTTCACTCAGAACATTTTGAATTTGTTGTGCAGTGACTGTGAACTGTACTTCACTTGCTTTGAATTTGAGATGAATTGCATGAGTGATATTACTTCACTTGCGTTTTCTTTTCGTACGCCTACCTTCTACACGAAGGTGCGGATTAGCTGAAACAGTTGGCCTTTGTTTTCGTGTTGACTCCGATTGTGTGACGTTAGGTTTCGTCTTGGGCCTCGTGTGTGTGTGTTTGTTTGCGTTGTTCTGTTGTTGTTGTTGTTGTTTTGTTTGTTGTAGGAAACAACAGCACTGTAGATACATCGTTATTGACGCTATGGTTTATCCGAGGAACTGGATTTTGGAAGACGAGTTTAGTACTGGAAAGACTTTAGGAGTCTTTGGACTGAGTCTGGTATTCCGACATCTGGTTTTCGCAACAGAGAAGATTTTGAATTTGGAAGCTACGACACTATGCATGAGTCGAACGAGATGAGTTTTGGATGGTGCTTTATCATCTACTTTGTGTTTTGGAAGACGTGTGCTTCTTTGGATACCGTTTTTTTTATGGATTCTGGAACGTGAGCATTTTTCTGCGGATATTCGAATGGTATCCGTACCTGGCAGTGATGTGAGTGGATGAGATGTCATGTCGAAAGGGGGTATGGAAATTTGACACCCTATGGGAACATCCTTTGGATAAGGGTGAAGCGACATGTCATTCATCATGGTTGTATAGTTTGTGCACAGAGGATACGTGGAAGGCTACTACAAGAGTTCATCGCGTCATGGAAGATTGGTAGAGAACACTCTACTTATTGCGGAAAGAATCTTGTATGTGACCATCCTGTGTCACAATATTCTATTGGTCTTCGGACTTATCATTTCAGACATCAGGATGATGTCATTGATCAGTGTTGACCAGTGATTGTGGTATATTGATCAGTTCTACATCTTATTCTGGATTCGACCTGAGTCTGGTACAGCTTATTGCTTGAGCTGAAGATACCTACATTGGTTTGACATTGAGACGACCTCTTGTGTCCACGATACTCCTGGACACTGAACATTGTGAAGTTCATTCTCTCCAAGTGATGAGAACACAACTAGAATCAACTAGAAACTCTTGGAGAAGAGTTTAAGCTAGCTGGAAATATCTGATGGAGAGAACCTATTATGCTTTGAGTTTGGATTATGAGATGCATTGGCATTGTGAGGACAATGTCCATATTTGGGCATCTTATTTGTCTGAGAGTTTTGTGATGAGATGTTTCGGTATTGTGAGGACAATACCTACATCATCGTCATCGTGACCTATGGATCATACACTTGATCTTATGGTGTGCATTTTATCGTTCCTGAGACGACTTTGGTTATCTCTATGATAACGACATTGTTTTGAGACGACTTTGGTCTACATTGTGGATTGGCTATTACAGTGGTCGAAAGACTTCAGCGATACAACTGTATTTGGCTGACCTACATTAACAATGTCGAACAGAACATTCTATTCTACATTGAGGTTGGAAGCTGTGAGATGCTTTCTCTATGTGGAAAACTGATTTGGAGAAAGAACTTTGTGTTCTGACTATATTCAGAGGAAGGTTGTGCAGACACCTTGTGTGAATCGCTTCGTTCTTGAGAAGTTAGTCAGCTTATGACTAGTGAGCTGGTTATTCACGTTTGGATGAGAACCAGTTTGCTTTGAGAACTTTTGGAAGTGTTTCGATGATTTTGAATTCATCTAGTGAAATTGAGTTTTGTAGACTTCTAGCAGCTGGAATAGTTTCAACAAACCTTTATTTGAAGAACTTGAGGTTTGTTAACTGGAAACCTGAAATCGAGTTTACCAGTTGAGACATCGGCTCGAAGGACTGGTGTCAGAAGTTCATTTAATGAACAAGAGCTGCTGTGTCACATAACTTGACATAAGACAGACCGACACAGGGAACACGAACACATCTTGCTTCTCTGTTTGCTTCCTGTTTTGCCTTGTTTTGTTCGTTTGTTGTGTTTGTGTTTCCCCGTGACTGATCGTGTTGCGTCTGGAGCGAAAAGAAGAGGCTTGACGTCAGCATGTGGGAGTCGAGGGAGAAACATTCCTTTTGACACGGTTGTGCTTTAGTTTAATTAGATTTGGGAATTTACGCTCTGCACTTGTGTTTGGTGTGCGTGGTTGACGTACGCGTCCGCCTGCGTAGTTCTGTAGGAATTTTGGATGAAGCGTTGGATCTGACCGCAGATCTGTGCACGGCGCTTTTTCTACAATTCAGAAGCTGTGGCTGTCATGCTTAGAGCATGACCCCCATGAAGAAGAATGCCGACAACCTGAAGCAATACCGAGTAGTCCGATTGCACCTGCACAGAAGAGAGCAAGATCAGTTGACACAGGACAAGCCACGCAACAGCAACCTGGCCCCCCTATCAAGCTGCCTAAATCAAGGAGCGTTGAAAACCTTGCGGCCAGTGCTGTACGGTCCCCGCCCCCTGACCATACAGGAAATATCGAGGATGAGGTTGACTTTGGTGGGTCAGAACCCTCGAGCCCACACCCAACTGAGCGAGAAGAAGAGAAGAGCAGCAACTCCTCGCCCACGGCCCAGTCGTGCCCAGGATCGACTGACAAACGAGCTACCACTGAAGCACAGAAACCTGTGGCCAAGCAATACTTGAGTTGAAAACTCATGATGAATTATGACAACAAAGTTGAATTTGTTTGGAAGTTGTTAAACAACTTCCTTACAAACCAAAACACCTTTCCAAAAAAAAAAGATGAACAAGTTGTCTTGGTGGTAACACCAACTGAATGTTGCAAGCAAAGTGCTTGCTCATTTTCGTGCTGTTCTTGCACATGCGATGTTTTTATGTTTGAAACGAAACAACTTTCTTTTGAGGTTTAAGGTTGTTTCTCCAGATGTTATTTGTCTGTTACGAAGCTATCTGTGAATTTGAATCAATGTTATGTCCGGTATTTTACAAGTCAAGGGTGGGCGCGGAGGGTTTCAAAAACCTTTTTCCAATTTTTGTGGAGCGTTCATGCGCAACAGAGCCATTCAGAAGGGTCACACTGCATTCAAGTCACCGCTGTGCTTGGGAAGTCAACCTGCACCAATTTTTGGTACATCAGCTGTGGCAATCACTGGAATTCTGACTGGATTTATCCTGGCTTTTGCGATTTTCATTGCCTGGGTTTTCTCCATTGATGCCTAGACTGTTGTGTGACTTGGAACGCTTTACAAACGGCTATCGAATTTCTGGGCCCTTTGTTTCTGAGTTGTGGCTTTCATTTGAGATTTCCGTCACCTTGATTGCATTTTTGGACACTTTCTCACAAGCACGCCTGCATCTTTGCTGCGTTGTCCTGCAGGTGGATCGTACGGAAATTGGTTTGGGTGCCACAGAGAAACGGCTCCAGATTCAACTGGAAAGCTGGGGTGTTCCCACACCACCAGTACAACCTTGTCTACCCAGGGTCCCATCGGACTCAACGTCCAGTTTTAGCAGTTTCGATGGCCAATCAGACTGAGCACACAGTGGAAAAAGGGGAGAAGAGAAGTTTTCATGCTCTCTTTGAGCACATTCAATTTTGTGAGCGATCCATGAAAAGGTCTGCACTGAAATATCCATGGCAGCTTGGTTTCATGGCAGATTCAGACCAGTCGGCATTCCCTAAGGGCCCACTGGGTATGTCTCCAGTGCTGCCTGCTGCGGTGTCAAGTTCAGATCATGCGGAGCCGGCTGATGAAAAGCTGGCAAGTGCTTTTGATGATCATTGCAGAAGACTTTACTGCAAGCTGCCTCAGGTGGAGTGGGATGTGCACCTGGACTCTCAACGTAGCGCTGCTTTGGCTAAGTGGCACAAAATTGTTCTGTCCGACCCTATGTCTTTTGATGTGTGCAGGATGCATTTTCAATCGTTGAAGACGGGACTCCAAAGAGGCAAGCTTCAGGACGATTTGAAAAATGTCTTCTCGAGCAAGAGCACTTCCACACTTCATGGTAGGGCTGGTCCTATGATGCGATTTTTGCATTTCTGCGGAGACAAGCAACTGCAGGCTTTTCCTATCACAGAAGAGGTTGTGTATGCGTTTATGCAACATGTTGAGCAGTCTGCAGCACCAACCTTTTTGAGGAGTTTCCTCAGCTCCTTGGGATTTGCCCTGCATGTGGTTGGTTTGATCGGTGCCAAGCGAGTTTTGGATTCCAGGCGCATCAAGGGCCTAGCAGACAAGTGTTACCTTCAGAAGAAAAAGACGAGATCGAGGTTGCCTCTATCGGTTGCAGAACTGACAACACTGGAAGAAATCGTTCTTGGCTACCGAGGACGTGGAATCCCAGACAGACATGCAGCTGGATGTTTCCTTTTCATGGTGTACGCACGCACCAGGTTTTCGGACATGCTCAACGTTGGGCGTTTGGATTTCGAAGCTGGTGAAAATGAAGAGGGATACATAGAGGCGCAGGTTGCCAGGTCCAAAACCTCCTTTTCTGTCGACAGAAAGGTCCGTTTGCTTCCTATGACAGCTGCAATGCATGGCGTCACTGCAGAACCTTGGGGAAGTGCATGGAAAGCGGTGCTAGAGAAGACCGGCATCGCCATCACACATGGAAAGCCGCTACTTCCTGGGAGGACTCCTGATGGCTGGCACACTTTACCATTGACTGCGGAGGCGGCAACGAGCTGGCTTCGTAGTATGTTGCAGTCAGGGGATCGATTCCAAGAGGAGAGAACCAAGTCCATAGGGACGCATTCATGCAAGTCCACCATTTTGTCGTGGATGGCGAAGTGGGGCTCTTCACCGGATCTCAGGAGACTGATGGGGTACCACGTCGCTGACAAGATGTCAACGATGCTCATATACGGTAAAGACAACACCAGTGCAGGGCTTCGCGAAATCGATGTGATTCTTGAGGCGATCAGGCAGGGTGAATTTTTGCCCGATGCAAAGCGATCTGAGATGTTTCCCAATGCCGATGATGCTGCAAAGCTTCTGGAGAGCCAAGACCAAAGCGGTTTTGATGGCTACTGTTCTGGAAGCTCTTCAGAGGACTCTGCAGATGAGGACCAACCTGACCACCTGGCTCATGAGACAGCAGAGAATGCGATCCTCGGCAAGTGGGACGCGGGTGTGGACGTCGACAAGCTGCCCGAAGAGGCAGTTTATTTCAGGCATCCTTTGTCGAGGACGATTCACGTCCAAGAGGACGAATCGGGTATCAGGTTCACTTGTGGCAGGGACATTTCAAAGAGCTACGTACCACTTGAGTCTCGACCTCAGTCGCTTCTACCAATTTGCAAACAATGTTTTGCCAGATTCAGAAAGGTACATGTATGATGATTGACATGTTTTGCGTCAAGTTGAAAAAGACTCGCAGCCCTTTGAATGAACGTCGAAGCAGGGAATTTCGTCAAAAGTGTCGGCCTGAGTTTAACATTCTTTCATTGATGTGAGTCATGCTGCACTTGTATGTTTGTGATCTCAACACGTGTCTTGGAAGTTTGAATTCACCACGTATGTTCACGTCAAACATCATCATTCAGATTGAGAAACCTTGACCAACGGGCAGCTTGAAGGGAAATGCCCCATCGGACAGTGTCGGCTCCAAGCGTCACTCTCAGAAAAACTCAAGCAGTTTGGCCAAGTTTTCACTCTTACCATGCTTCAAATTTCAATTTTGTAATTTGTAGAGAGTTTCAAGTTTCGTCACGCCTGTCCAATCATGTTCATTTCACCAAGTTTGAAAGAACTCCGTGCGGTCCGTATCCATGTCATTCGCTGACAGCGTGCCAGTTTTCAAAGACAGGGCTGCCTCAGCGGGACTGAGCGAGGAGATTCGGACCAGTTTGGATGGCGCTGGGCTCAACACACTTTCAAAGTTTGCCTTTGCAAGTTCATATGTGCCCGGTGCCGGCGATGATGCAGAGTTTGTTAAGACAGTGAAATCAGTACTTGGAAGGGACCCTACGTTGGGAGAGCTGGCATCCTTTCGAAAACTTTTGCATGAGTCCTACTCACTTGTGACACAAGAAATGAAGCAGCAATTGGAAAGGAGTGAGGA